GGCCGGGCGCGCCTGGAGGGGCCGGGGGAGGCAGGGGGCGCCTCCCACCCGCTGCACCCCGGGCCTTGCTGCCCCTTCCCACTGGGCCCGCACCTGGGCTGCCTTGTGCCAAGCAGCCAGGGCGGCTGTGAAAGCCCCCGGGTGCCCAGAAAGCTCCCCTCTGCCCCTCCATCCGCTCCATCACCAGAAGGTTGTCTTTGGTCACCCCTGCCAGACTGCACCCTTCACAGCATGGCCACTGGCCCTCAACACCAGCGGGCACTGGCAACATAGCTGCTCCAGGCGTTGGACTCCCCAACTGGCCGGCTTCCCCCAGACTTCCAGGACATCTGAAGGGGCCCTCCCTTCCCAAGGAGCCTGGAGAGCTGGGGTATGAGGTTCCGTGGGGCGGAGATGGAAGAAAACAGAACCTCAGCAGCTGGCCGTTGTTCCCTCCAGGCCCCCTTGGTGGGGGAGCAGGGTTCAGCTATGGTTCTCCTTCTGCTCAACCCCATAGGGAGGAACAAGACTCATTTCCCCATAGGCGGTTACCACTTCCTGCTGCCGGAAGACGCTCTTCTGCCTCCTTTCCCCTGCAGCTTGCACCTGCCCTGTCCTAGGCCTGGGGGGAGGGCAGCCCCTCAGAACAAAGTCCTAGCTAGCCTGGGCGTAAGTCTTGGGTCCTTCCTCATCCAGGGGTGGTGACGTCTACTTCCACCCCTCCCTACCAAGTCAGAACCGCAGGGCAAAAGCTTTTCGCCAGTGAAGTGGGAACGCAGGAGGCAGGAGGCTGACGAGCCAGACTAGACGACTGTCTTCAGTTTGGTGTGAGGGAAATCCCTAGAGTATAGATGGTAGGAGAGGGACAAAGCAGTTAGGCACCGGGCTGTGTCTGGGGAGGCAGCTAGTACAAGGAGTCCAGGCATGTGTATAAATGGACGTCAATGTAAGGCTCTGTGCAAGTGCAGGCACACATGACCTTGACCTGCAGATGGGGTGGGGGGGTAGGCTGTGCAGATACTTCCTGCCTTTAAACTATGAGCAATTAATTTTCTTGCCCAGAAGGAAAAAACACAGTCCCTCAGCTCCCTTCTCTAAGATGCCAAGTGTCCACGGGGCCTGGGGCTTCAAGGCCTGGGAGCTAGCCAGATCCTGGCAGGCCCAGGACCTGGACTTCCAGCAGCTGGTCTCAGAAGTACCAGTGTTCGAGTTCTCCAGCAAGGGAGGTGAGCCAGTGCCCCTTCCCACAGCATGCACAGGCACACCCTCCTCCGAATGTGTTCCTGTGTCGGGAGAGTCACATGTCCCACTACCGCCTCAGGTCAAGGGGAACCAGGGTCCCAAGCCCCTCATTAGCTAACCCCAACACACCCCACCTGCCCCCTACCCCTCCATCCGAACCCTGACTGGTCCCTCCAAGTCCCTCATCCACCCAGCAGAGCCAGGGACAGGGCTCAAGCACACAGGAAATGGCTGCTGATCTGGCCCCAGCCCCTGCTTTCAAATGTTCTCTTCAGTCCCTTTCTGACTCCAGAAATCCTCAAATGATGCCCCTGCTTTAAAACCTTGTGTGATTAGCCCTACTTTTAGGACATTTGTTTGGCATTTAAGGCCCTGAATGAAACTGCTCACTACTGCTTGCTCTACCCTTAGCTCCACTGTTCCCCTTCTAAGGATCCAAAAGCCAGTTATCCCACAGAAGGTGAGGACCAGATCTGCAGACCTTGCTAAACCCATTGAGGTGTGTCCACTTGGTCCTGAGGGGTGATTGCAGAGGTGATGTGGTCAGGTCTTCTGCCTGGAGGATGTGCCAGAGGGAGGTGAGATCAAGAGTGAGCTGCAACCGCCATTCACTCGATGAAAACATGAATTAGGCAGTGAGGGTCCCAGATCAGACGCTATCAGGCCCCTCCTATTTTCCTAAAAGTTGTTACAGCACACTCTCAGCTCCTGGCCGAGCTTGCCAAAATTTGATACCTGGCTGCTTTGACAAAAGCAAAGTACTCAAAAGTCAAATGTTGGTGAAAATGGAAGTCAGCTTTTATTCAGGAATACCGGTGACCTGAGGAGAGATGTTAAGTTAACCCATCTCCCTGAAGGAGAATGCCAGACTAAAGTCATCCCAAAGACTCAGGTTTACTGAGGGGTTTTTTAAAGAGGGTGCTGACAGAATGGAAAGTGGGAAATGAAAAGCAGGAGGGAGGCGGACGTGAGCAGCGAGGGCTTCGTGCAAGGTCTCAGGTGCAAGGTCTCGCCAACACTCCCTCTGGTTTCTGCTCCCATCTTTACTGTTATCTCAGGGTCTGGGTACTACGTACAGGTCTGCAGCTTCAGGCTGGCTGTAAAGCCACTTTACATTTATGTAAATAATATCATCTGGCCCCACAACCAAGGTTCAAAATATCAAATAACCGTGGGAAAAGAAGGAACTCAGAGAAATGCATTCCAAAAAATCAACTGTGTCCTTTCAAAATCTTTCAGAGCCCATGCAGTTTTAGGCCCCAACACGTCTTCAGTCCTGCTCACTCCAACAAAGCCAGCTTCCCAGGAGGAGAGATTAACAACAGGGGCTCCAGGGCTTAGGGCTGTGCACCTTGGACGGTATAGGTTCACCACGTGGGGAAGCGCCCGTGGGACCCACCCCCATCCACATAGTGAGGGGCAGAGGGGCCTGCTTTCCCACCCTCAGCCTTCCGGCTTCATTGGCACAGAAGCGGCCGCGGCCAGGAGGCGGCTGCCGCAGAGGCAGGGGAAGTGCTGGGTTCCCGGGGCCGGCCGGGCCTGCAGCTTCCCCTCTCCCTGCCCGCCTCCTCCCGCAGTTCCCACCTCCGCCCAGGAAACCTAACCGCCTGACGGCAAGCGGCCCGCCAGGGACACAGGGCGCGGAGGGCAGAGGGCAGGCCGAGTCCACGTGGGCTGGCGCCCGCCGGGCCAATCGGAGCCTGGGAACGAAGCCTGCCGCCGGCTTGCCAACCGGAAGGAACTGACGCCAGGAGCTGAGGGCGGGACGAGGCTCCGCTCCGAGCCATACAAAGGGAAGCCTGCGACTCGATCCAATCACAACACAGCCCCGCCCGAGCAGGCGAGACTTCCGGCCCCGTCCCCCCACCCCCCCGTCTACACTTCACCGGCGGCCTGTTGGTCACGTGCCAGGAGCCAGCCAAAGAGAGTACCGAGCCTGGGTGTGGCGAATTATTCATCCCAGCGGGGGAGCGGAGTGTCACCTGCAGTAGCAGGGGCATAACGTGTAGTGACAGCTCCGGAGTGCAGAGCTCGCCTGGGGACTAGAAGCAAGCGATGGCGTTGCGGCCAGACGGCAGGGAGGAAATGCTCAGGAGCGGGTGTTAGGGCTAGGGTGAGGCCACGACAAACAGGGTTTGTATCTTGCGTGAAACTCAAATGGTGGATACATGGTTTTATGCAACGCAGACAGGGAACCCTAATGTTATCCACAGACTGCCAATACTATACAGTATTGGCTCATTCATAGTAAATTATCCCACCTAATACAAAATGTTAATAGGGGAAACTATGAGAAGGGAGAGCAGGGGTAAGTGCAACTCTGTATCATCTGACCAATTCTTCTGCCGACCTAAAACTACTAGAAATGAAGTCTATTCTCAAATGAGGGCTCAGGCTAGAGAGTAGATTCAACAGGTATTAGGGTAATTGAACACACAGGACTCGCTGACCATTCGGGTGGCAGGGGAAGGTGAAATCATGGATCGTTGACAGGGCTGGAGCAACTGGGTAGCTGGCTGGGCTACTACCCAGACAGCTGTGGATAAGCCCAACATCTGCATCTGGAGCCTAGGAAGTACGGATTGGAGCTGCTACAGCCTAAAGTGTCAGTAGTGAGAGAAAAAGGCAGAAGATGGGACACTCAACATACAAGCCAAGCAGAGGTAGTGAAGGACGTCAAAAATGGGATAACTGGACACTCAACATACAAGCCAAGCAGAGGTAGTGAAGGACGTCAAAAATGGGATAACTACCTTTGAGGTCTAAGGCTGGCTAGCCCAGGCTTGTTCCTCAAAACACATTCAGAGTGGAAGAGCTAAAAGGGCCCTGAAGGACCATCTAGTTCAGCCCTGGGGCATTAATGAGGACACCAAGGCCCAGCAAGGCAATGGCAGAGCAGGGCTCTGGAGGCAGGGCGTCTGCCGGCATGGCAGGGGTCTCCCTCCCTGAGCCCAAAGCTGCTCAAAGTGGTCAGATTTGGGAGTCCCACCTCCAAAGCCCTGACAGAGCTCTCTCCTTGTACTTGGGCTTGGCAGGACGCTCTGGGCCATGAGGCTGGGAGGCTCACATCCACACGGTCACAGAGGAGCCGGGGAGAAGCACACACCCTTGGATGTGCACACACAGGCATGCACACGCACAGGCACACACGCGTGTGCACACACAAATCCCCCAGGCCACGAGGTGAAGTTTATTGTGAAAGCTCGTGGGGTGAGGACGGGATGGGGCAGCTCTAGGAGGCTGAATCAGAGGCCTCCGAGCTGTCCTTGACGTCAGTGCTCTCTGTGGTCTCGCTGACCTCGCTGAGGTCCTTGCTGTCCCCACCACTATCCTCCGCAGCCAGACTCTTCTCCTCACGACACGCTTCCCCTGCACTCGGAAGCGAATTGCCTTTGCTCTCCACCTTGTTCTCGATGGCACCCAGCACCACGTGTCTGCCTTTTTCCTTCAGCTCTAGGTGCCGCCTCAGCTGCCACCGGGAGCCCAGGGAGAAGCGAGAGGACAGAGACAGCGCCTAAGTCTCCAGACAACGGGGCGGTGAGAACCTGGCCCTGTCGCCTGCCAGGGGTAGGGCATAATAAGAGGCAGCAGGGCCAGGACAGGAAACAGGACCAAGTGGGGAGACCTGGCTGGAGTCCTGGCTCTGGGCCTCAGCTTCCTCATCTGTAAAATGAGGGTAATCGTGCCCCCTCACACGGGCTGCGGTGAAGCCCCCAAGAGGGAATTATGCCCCTTCACCAGCACTGCCCCCTGAGGAGCCTTGGGCAGGCCTCTTTCTCCACAGCCTGTTTTGTCTTACCTCTGAGCAAGCAGGCTGCAGCTGTCTCCAGGCCACCCACAGCTGTTCCCCGGCTGTCCCACTGCCCCTCTAGAAAGCCTCCTCCTTCTGCCTTTCACATCACCCCCCCAAGCCTCTTCCTCAGAAAACAGCATCTTGGGGGGATGGCCTCCTCGACAGCTCAGCCAAGGCCTGCCTCCCCACTGGACAGCTTAGGAAACCAAGGGCAAGAGGGGCCACGACTCCCAGCAACATAGCCACAAGGGCTGGCACCAGAGGCAATCTCCCCTTCCAACCACTGTGGACTGCCTCCTGTCTCAGGGCTCCCCGCCTGCCTTGCTTTTCTCCACCGTGGGGACCACTGCCCTGGCCCAGCTGGACACTTACCTCATCGGCCATCTGGGTGAGGTCCCGCTTCATCGCATACGCATCTTCCCCATCCGCATAGTATTTGGGCTCCACTTCACTGATTCTGGGGGTAGGGGATGGGGAGCAAGAAGGGAGACCCTGACCTGGTATTCTATGCTAATGCACTGTTGAGTCATTTTTTCTCCCTGAAGGACCCTTGTGGAGACAGCAAGCCCAGCTAGAAGGAATTCTTTTTCAGGAACCCCATTTCCAACATGGCCTTCCCTCTGCTCTCTCCAGCGAAGCCTAGCAGTAAGTAGCACCCATGCCCTTCCCTCCCTGCCCTGCTCCCTGTCACTTACTGAGCACACAGCTAGTTGCTCTGCCTAGCTATGACGAATGGAACCCGGGAGAGGGGTGCTATGGCCCTGGTTCGAGGGTAGTCACCCCCAGGCAACATGGCCCCTGCCCAAGTAGCATGTGTGCAGACTCAGGTGGCCCTGCCACTGGAAGGGGAGCTGGACTTGATGGCCTAGAAAAGCCTGCCAGCCAGCCCTAAGACATGGCAACTGTTGACTTAGCATATGAAACAGTTCCTACCAGAGACATCCTAAGCCGGGTCCAAGATCACTCCCTTAAACACCCAGCCTGGTGGCCACCACCCTTCCTAACCTCCTCTTCATCCTCCACCAAATTGGAGCCGAGTGCTGTCTTGACGGGCCCTCCATGGGCAGCCCAACTCAGCCTCACTTTCAAGTGCCTTTTGCCACTGTCTACTGGGCATGTTGACTCCCTGCCAGGTACTCTTTCACCTGTGCTGGATACACAAACACCCCCACACGTCCTCGAGCAGACCTGCCCCCATCCACCAGGCTGCCCAAGGCTCTAGGTCCCTCCACTGCTCTAGCTGATGGCCCTTCCCTCCTGGGTGCACACTCCCCTTCCTTCTGCTCCTGCTTGGATGCTTCTAGGTGCCTGGTCACCCAGAGTCCTGCTTCTCAGCATCTGCTCATGTCCTGGGCCCGTATCTCTATACTTCCAAACTTTTGCTAAAAGCCTGATGTGCTCTTCACCACACTGCCCTCCACCAGCCTCTGCCAGCATCAAGCCAAGCCACTTTCTCCATCACAACACACATCAAGCACATTTCATCAGGTAGGTGCCATCTGCATGCTAGCTTTTCAATCAACAGCCACCAAGTGTGGAGCAGGCATCCCCCCCCCTTCTCAAGCCATCCCCACCCCTCTGCCTGGAAGGCAGCTCAGCTCATCTCAGCTGCTTGGATGGGCCAGACCCAGGACAAGTCCCAGCCCATTAGAGAAACCTAGATCTACTTACTGAAAGTTGAGGGTGTTGGAATAGAGGTGCAGGGCGGCCCGGTTACTGCAGGGGAATAAGGCACTGCTGAGCTGCACAGACAGGGACAGCATGTCCAGGTCCTGCCCCTCCTTCTAGTCCCCCCTTCCCACTAATCCCACTTCCTGGATCTTCTCCAAAAGCCAAGGTACCCCAAGTCCCCCTATCAAGGTGGTACTGCTTCCTCCCCGCATTTCCCCTTCTCTTGGCCTGGCTGCCACCTCTTCCTGACATGCAGAGAGACGTATTTGGCATTGAAGTTCTCTATCATGGCTCGGGAGGCCTGGTCCATCAGCTTCTGAGCCAGGCCAAGGCGCCGGTGGGAACGCTTCACAGCCTGGTGGGAGAAAGGTAGGCAGGGGTGGGACCTTGAGGGCTGCCCCAACTCAAACTTCCACCCCAGCCAGAGCATAGGTGGGCCCTACGTACCAGTGAGGTGATATGTCCGTGGGGCACATCATCTGGGTCCTCTTCCCTAGAGAAGGAGAAAGGAGAGACTAGAAAGAAGTTGCAAGCAGATGCAGTCACGCCCAGGCTGCGCACATGGTGCAGACACAAATTCCTCTAGGCTGGCCCTACAGCCCTCTCGGACTTGGGCTGGGGGGAGCTGAGAACCTCTCAGATCAGAGCAGCCCATGCTGTTCCCCTCTGCTGCCTCAAAACACGTGCAGCATCCACCAGATATGTGCGGTGTCAAGAGAACACTATTCTGTGATCAGAAGAAATGGCTGTCAAGCCAGAAAAGAACAGGAGGAGCTTTAAATGCACATTGCCAAGTGAAAAAGCCAGTCTGAAGAGGCCACAGACTGATTCCAAGTCGATGACATTCTGGAAAAAGCAGAACTACAAAGACAGTAAAAAGACCAGTGGTTGCCAGGGCTTGGGGGGAGGGAGGGACGAGGCGGAGGAGCACGGTGAAACCCTTCTGTGTCATAGGTGGGCACATCATTTGTCCGAACCCATAAAGCACACAACTGAGACAACCACCAAAATGTCAACTATGGCTAATAATGCATCAATGGCGGGTCATCGTTTACGACAAAAGTACCATGTAACATGTTAGTAATAGGGCTGGCCCATGGCTCACTTGGGAGAGCGTGGTGCTGACAACACCAAGTCAAGGGTTAAGATCCCTTTACCAGTCATTTTTAAAAAGAAAGAAAAAACATGTTAGTAATAGAGGGAAGTGGGGGGGGATTATATGGGAATTCTTTGGATTCTCCGCTTAATTTTTCTATAAACTTTATAGTCTATTAAAAAAAATGCCTGTTATTTTTTCGAAAACCCACAGCAGCATCCACCAGGCATGTGGTGCTGCCCCCTGCCCCAGCCCCGGCCGTAGGCTTCCCTCTTCCTCCTTGGTGACTCACATTTTGGCCAGGACGTACCCCACAATCTTCCCATTCTCATCCTCAGCAATGTAAGAGAGCTGGTGACAGGGAGGGAAAGAAGTTAGAAAACAATTTCATGTCAGAGGTGGAGGAGCCCCTGGAGGGCAGCTGCTCCTACAGCCCGCCTCCAGCTGTGCGCATGACAGAGAAGCTGTTCAAGTGCTGAGCTCTGTGACGGTTCGTGACCTCTGGACACCACGCTGTGCCCTGTCCTTGACCCAGAAGGGGACAGACACAAGGTAGGAGTCCTGCTCCTGTTGTGCTCTCCCTTCAGATACCTCCTTTCCATTTGCCCCCTGACCTCACCGGACCACGCAGCCCCCGGGCTCTCACGGCCTTGCCCACTCCTCCGTAGCCACCCACATGGGCTTTGCTTTTCCTCGCCTGGCTTCCCCCGGCTCCCAATCCCACAGCTGCCCACCTGGGGCCAGGAGAGGCCGTGGTAGAAGTAGTATTTCATCTGATAGTTCTCGGGCAGGCAGAGGAGGTTGCAGTGCTGCATGTTCATCAGGTCCTCCGGCTGCGGGGGAGGGCGGTGGGACGTCAGTGCACGGCGGCGGCGACTAAGCGGCCCCCGGTCTGTCTGCTCGGCCCTCCCCGGCGCTGAGCGGCCTGACCCACGGCCTCAGTGCACAACCCGTCTGTTCCAGCAATGAGCGGGAGCGCCCCGGAGGTCCCCGAAGCCCACCCGGGTGACGCGATGCGGCCCGGACATCAGGCAAGCGGGGGATGTGCAGCCGCAGCCCCGCGCCCGGCCCCGCCGGCCTCCTCTCCGGGCCGACACGGC